AAATTGCAACATAAAAATCATCCCTAAGTCTGCCTAGCCTGCAGCTATCTCATATTGCCTGTTTTAGCAATGTATTCATCCCCTTGTCAAAGTAGATTGATATCGTGCGACGAATTCAGGAACTTGTGCTTCGTTGCTAAAGAAAAACTAACAATAAAACCCACGTCACAATACATTGAAGTGTCGCAAGATTGTCACCTAAAATCTTAATAGAATTTTGCCTATAACTAGTACTTAGCCATTCTACAGTGAAATGAGTTTTCTTCTTCTTTGAAGCGGTAAACGGGTGAATACAATAACATAAGCTATATATTTTTATGGTTCAACTTTATTAAAATAAGCAGTAGCAATTATACTAATAAATAATAATAATAATTAGTGACTTAGAGGCAAACTTCAACAGAAGTGAAAATTAGAAGCGAACGATGTCCTCAAGCTCAGATATAAACGTGAACGACATTATTTATATTACAAAAAATATTTAGTTATTTGTATAATTATAGCACGACAGTAAAGCAAAAGTTTTTTGTCACAAATATTGGTATTAGTTACTGAGGTGAAACTAACGCAAATGACCTTATTAGTGATTAACTACTGATTACTGATTAGTATTTAACTTCAGTGACAATATACACATAACATAAATTCTTCTCGAAATCAGTAGACGAGAATTTAAACAAATATGGTTTGATCTGTCACATGTTTTCTTTAATGAAGAGCTATAAATCAAATTCTATATCGATCAGAAAGCAACAAAATTAAAGACCAAACCGTATAATACACTACAATTTCAAAACTAATTTTAATGATTTAACCGTACACTAAGAAAGACATTCCAATTTAATCCGATAAGGTCACAGCGTAGTCGTTAAAACGCGTCGACAGTTTCTTAAAACTTTCTGTGTTTTTGAAATAACGATAGTTTATAACTTATTTTATTATTCCTTAAAATCTCATTTTTATTTCAATCATCCTAAAAATTGCAACATATTTAATAAGATGAAATATGAGCACAGTGTGTAATACTCCTACTTTTTTTAGAAATTTTGCAATATTTATAATAACTAAGTCTACATGGGAACAATACAGACCAATTTTCAGTTAAATTGAAGCATTTACATGTTTGACACGTTAAACCAAAACAAAGACTCTAAAGACCACAGGAGAAAAGCTTACGATGTCCTAGATTAATCTGATATTTTTGTATAACTTTCGTTCATTTATTCCGGCGTCTGCAAGTAGAATTCAAGGGACAAAACGTTTATCAAAGTTTAAAAATTATTTCAGATAAAAATCTATTACGCACAAACAAAACGCTACCTTAAAAATGACTTAACTGCTCTTTATTGTTTTTGGTTAAGTGTAAATAAACCAATATTATAATCTTTGAACCCTAAAAAGCGGATCTTTACATAATATATGATAATTTTTGTTTAAAATCAGACGCTTAAATTTTCGAAGAGAGTATGTAATCCGTTGTTTCACAAGTGCGAAATAAAATTTCACACTACTTTTGGTGTTATAAATAAAGTTTTAAAGCCTGTTGGAATCTGAAAAAAATCGTGACTATAACAGTTTCAGTTTAAATTCTAACAATGTTCAAAAACTGTAAGAATTTTTTTACTTACTCTAAATTTATTTAGAAAGAACTTTCCTCACTTCTGAGGCATAGTCATGCAAATTCATTTGCTGCGATAAATTATATACAAGTTGATTTCGCAAATTGTAGCTTTATAGTAACGCTTATACAGCTGTCCCAGATAAAACTCCACGGTCTAAAATCATGAAAATGGATAGATATATTAAAACTCTGTAACCTCCAATGATTTTAGCTTGAAGAAGTAAGCTTAATTTAGTACACTGCGAATATGAAAGGACAAAAAAGTAAAGGTAGGTTAATCGAATTAGTAGAAATTGGTTTAAATAAAAGGACACTTTTTATTCCCTTGACATTTTTTTGTAAAATTAAAAATAAAAAAATCCTTCGTTGCGTTTCTTTTTTTTCGATTTTAAGATAACCCTGCTAATGTTAAAGTTTTAATTGCAGATTTATTTATTTTGAATTAAGCCAAAAAATTGTTTTGATATTTTTTTGTAAAATAGAAAATAAATTTTTTCTCTCTTGTGAACTCAATCCAGGGACATACTATAGATAAGTAATACCAGTAACAGTGTAAGAAGCTAACTGTTATCTTATGAATATACTTTGACAACCTACAATTTTTTTTTGTGTTTGTCTACAATATCATTTTTTTAATGACGCTATCTACTTTTTAGAATTCTTGTAGAGCTTGTTTTTCTAAATTCATTAACTTATCATACTTTAATCACTGTCTACGATTCGAACGCATTATGTTACGAAAACGCACTTGTTTATATTCAGTCTCAAGTGCACTTGTCCTTAGGAAATGGATAGGGGTGGTTCTATTCTATTGTCGTGCTTGCGTTTTGGAAGTTCACATGGAATTTTGTTCTCAAAAATAAAATTTTAGAAGCATTAATGAAGCTGAAAAAGTATAATTTTTCTATACTAGAAAATCTAATTTGTATTTAATTATAATATCAAGAATTTCGGAAAAGATTTGCCTTAATTTTTGTTGTTTATCATTCATTTCACTTCCTTTACAACGATTAGAAAAATTAATACGAAAGGTTCTAGGCAAAATACAGTCATTATACTCACTTAAACTTACAAAAATCGCATCAGTTTTGCGTACACTACAGACGTAAGACTCGAGTCTGCCTCTGTGTGGTATGTTGAAGTGCACCTTTTATGGAAACAGCGAATACCCACCTACCCAGATAAAAATAACACTAATTTTTCACATTTATTTTTAAAATATTAGAAAAAAAACATTTATTGGCCTGAAATGTATCGGTCAGAAATAATAAAAATAATAAGCCCAAATTCATTGAATTTACCTTATAGGACAAACCGTCCATGTGAACGGTGTAACAATTACTTAAATTAATAAAGAGCAAGGTGATGCCTGTATTTCTTACAAGTTTTCCATTTGAAAATATTTCAATCGACTTTATTTCAGCACGGACACGTATGCCAGTTCCGACATGTACAGTGTAATACTAATAACAGAACAAAATAATAAATAATAAACAATAAAACAATGACGTTTACAGAATTTCAATATCTCTATCTGTTCTTAAGATAGACGGCCGCGGAGATTTATCTGGGACACCCTGTATGTTAAAATCCACAATAGTAGAAATATTATTTTTTACTTAATCAATACAACTAATTGATTCATTAAATATTTTCAAACATGGTGTACAAATAATTCTAATAAATAAAAATATGTTACAATGTGAATCACCCAGCACATTTTCTAGCAAAAATTGTTTTCATAAATGTTTGGTTAGAGGGGATACATGAATAAATAAATCATTAAACCAGCCCTGGTATCTAGCAAAATTAAAAAAAAAAACGTACCGTACTGCTTTTGTAAATTTTATTGTTTAGATAACCCTGTACCGTATCGTTAAAAATATGGATATATAATTAAATCAAAAATAAAGGAACATATCACACTATAACCTTTAAGTCAGATTAATTTTGATTACTGAGTACGGATGAACAATTCACTATGTCCGTGAGAAGTTTAAAAAATGTGCAAAATTTGGAAGCAATGGGTTTGTAGTTTCCAAACTGAATTATAACTTGTTATATAATTTATATATTTTTTTTATAAAACTTGGATGGAAATACATTGTTAAAAATAGGAATGATTTAAAATAAGAGTTACAGAAACATATTACTTTGTGTATTAAAAATTTTGTGTATTTAAAATTTTGACATGAAGTCATGGAAATTCTAGTAGGGATGAACAAATAAATTTCAATTAACCTTTTTTTCTCTACTGATATTCTTAAAATACATCTCAAATTTCATAATAATCACCAGTATAGTGGAACAGTTCACTTCTTTTTTATTTTCCTAGATATTTATTTTTAACTTAAAAAAATGTATATAACCCACGTTTTATATAAGAAAACACAGAAATGTATTTATATAAAACTAAAGTACGTATATATAAAAATAAGCCATAGTTAAATACAATAAAACAATAATATGATTTTGTAGTGATAAGTATATTTTTCCAAAACTAATTTTAGAAAAACAAATAAATACTTCTAATAAGTCCCTTAATCGCTGTTTTATGAACATAAAAAAAATATTTTAGATTCTGAAGAGCAGAAAACACTATAATTATTAATGTAAAAACTGCAGTGTTTTTAAAAATTGCAAAAACCATGAGTATTTTTTAAATTTTATTTAATTTCATTCGCAGCCTAGTATTACAAGATATTAAATAATTGCAGTGTATATGGGTTTAACTGTTACGAATTTGTTAATACAATTTCCTATGTGTGGCAACCTGCAAATCTAAACTTATTTCCGGTCTAAATTTGAGTAAAGATTTGAACCAGAACAACATTATTTTGTATTTTGAATTAATGACTCATTTACTTATAGGAAAAACCCTTATTTTATACACACCTTTGATTTGCAATTTGTCTAGAAAAGTAATAAAAACGAGGCAAAATAAACACGGTATTTGCCGTCGTAAACTGTACGATCATTATCATTATGCAACTGGCATTACGAAAGTGTTAACACGGTTGTGTAAACATTATTAAAAAGTCATCTGAAAAATTCAAATTTTATTTTAAAAAAGTTACAAACAGTTAACCAATTCCTAATAAATGTGGTTTTTGTCATTTTCTAAGTATAAGGTAATTTGTTATTCTGATATTTTCTTTAATTCTTTGTTGCTACAGTATTGCTAATGATAAAATTTAGATAAATGAAAACAAAACAAAAACCAAACATGCATTTATTTCAAATAAATTATGTCAGTCGGTACATGTAATACATTATTACTTTAATTCATATGCTGCTGAAGCTTAATTAAAAAGCACTATGAATGGCAATTAAATGAATTATAAATTAGAAAAACTGTAAGAATGGATTTACTACTTACCTATAAAAACAGGTAAAAAAAATCCAATACTATAAAGACATCAGGAACATTAAGTACATCACTTCAGTTACATTAGACAATTTATAATCTGATAAAGCCAATTTGGAACAATTTTTATACAGCAACATCCTTCCACGATCTCAACTCTCGACAGACTAAACAGATTCACTACCCTTTACACAAAGTGTGTCGCATTTTAAAGAAGGGGGTGGAGCATATGTAAAGCTCTCTCAAAGGTTTACGTAGGACTACCTAACATTACACTTCCTCGAATAAAACTCTCATGGTGGAGGGGATCGAAGCTTCGAAGCCATTCAGGGTCTGTCGATAAAACCCTTTATAATGCTTTCAACCCTTACTTTTTTACTTTATGTAATAACACCCCTTTTTAGTTTTGAAGGGGAGTAACCCTTTCTACTTCGATAATAAAATTGCTAATCATTCATGCAATTGCCACTGTAGTATCGTAGCATAAATCAATGTTTTATGCATTCTGCCATACAACTAAAAGTTGCACTTTTTTCATTTAATAATCGAATAACTAGAATTTAGTTTTATATTCATTAGTAATATTTGATTCCATTATATTTACCTATACTGTAATTTAATATTGGGACAGTTTAAACCCTTCCATAAAAAACACAATAGAGATTCTACCCCTTTGGTACATATGGTGCAAATCAAAGGGGTGGTAGGGTGATTCGCAAACTGTAAAAAATGAGCACGTGTGCCTCTTGTATTGCCTCTTCTTTGTTGTAACATTGCAACATAGGAGTATTTTAAACTTTTACGTTGAGACAAACTGATACCTATGTTTATAGGACGGTTATTTAACCAACCTCCTCACCTTTGACGTTGACGATGTATCTTCTACCCTTTAACACAGCTTAAAATCCGTGAATTATAATTCAAAATGACAATTAACTCTGACATAACCCTACTTAATAGTCAAAAATCAAAATGTCAGACGTCAATAATTAATTATTAGCCGTCAAATATCAGTGGCGGTACCAAAAAGTAGTACAAAGGTACCAAACATAATTTACCCTGTTTTTTCTGCACTCTTTATACATTTTACATTTCATTATTTACTTTAATACATTGTATTTATTCGTTTTATAATACAACACATTAAAATTAAATAGTGCAAGAATCTATTACAGAATTCAGTATTTTGACTGTTTCTGTTTGAGTACTGCTTGGACTTGAATAACGTTTGTAATTTTGAAATTTGTTAAATAAAAGCTTTCTTTTAACGATTTGGACAGAAAAATTACGTCAAAATTTAAAATTTGTGGATTATATACAATAATTTGAATTTGTGAAAATTAATTTATGAAAATAAAACAATGCTGTATGTTCATATGTTCCGCTTCAAATTACGTATGCAAAGTACTTAAGTATTTTATCTCACACGAGTTGGCTTAACAAAACAGTTGTCTAAAATATTTACGGTTTAATTTATAGTATAATTATTATTAATAGCATTAGTAGTTATTTTGTTAATTTCAAAAATTCTACAAATAAAGATTATCAACAAAAGAAACTGAACCAAACATATGATTGAAAAAAATCATTTATTATTTGACTAATCACTTATAACATGATAACACAATTTTTTAATTCTATATAATACTTATGGTGCACTTAATTTGACAAACGGAAATAAAGAGGAATCTCTTTGATCACTGGGTTTACCTCCACAACACTGAAAACACACAAAATATGTGCTTTAGACGTTATAACTATAAACGGATATTTTATATTTATTTGTATCTGTATGCCATGAAGTCGTTAGACACTATCACTAAATTGTCATTTTAAATCAGTACGCTTCTTAAAGCAGTAGATCCAACTTTTTTAACAAGTCACACAGAATGAAGCACCCTATAATATTAACTAATAGTTTAATTAATATTTAAAAAATTTCTAACTTTTGGAACACAAGTGGACTATTATACTCCAATTTCAATTGAGAATTTAGAGATATGTGGAAGTGTATACAGTAAGTAAGTAATTCCAATTTTCAGTGTATTTCAATAAATTACAACAACAAATGGCGCAATTACTTTTTTCATACTGTCACCATGGTAACACAGCCGTAATAACAAGTGTTTACTAGTTATTCTGTTTGTGGTCAATAACAAATGAGCATATAATAAACCAGTCATTGGTCAAATTAAAACAGAATATGATCCAACAGCATATTTATATTTTCCCTGATTCAACATATTTCTGTAAAAATAACAACATCGATATTGGTTGGCAGTGAACCGTACGATGAAATTCCAACTTATTTCGTGCTATTGATTCTGTTTTTATTAATTTCGGGCAACATTATTATTAAAATAAGTAACTATAGTAACGTCGTGGGCAAAATATATCGAATATATTTAAGAAAATCTAACTCCTACTGATAAAGAATATAAAAAACATTTAAATATTTATAGGTATATAAACAACTCAATGCGTCCAAAATTGTTCACACTAGAGAAAACTTCAAAATAAAATCATAAAATATTAAATAAAAATCACAAACTGACTTAACTTTAAAATTTTAAAAATTAAAGAGAAACTTTTAACAAAAATTTATAAAATACCCGTTGACAGTCTCAATGAAAGTATTCCTCCGCAGGTTATTTCCTTGCCTCCGTTTCACCATTATACCGTGTGTTCACTAATTATTTAGATCAAAGAATGCTGTGCGATTTTGAACGTATAATTCTCGATTTCGGATGCTTTTCAGATTATGCAATTAAACAAACACATGTGTAATGTTGGTTGCATATTGACAAATCAATTTACAAACGAGAGTTAGCTCTTGCTTGTTGAAAACTAGAAAAACTAGTGAAAGAAAATAACTTCTCCAGGTTTGTGAATAAGTTTATTTAAAAGACGAAAACAAAGTTAAAGAAACTGTTGGAAATGGTATCCATTTTTCTGTATATATAAATTGACAGGTCTTTTCATGTTATTAAACACATTTTGTAGTGTAACAGGAGTAATGCGAGCACACTTTTAGGTACCTAATTCTGTTGAAGAATCAACAGAAGTTCTTCTTTTGCAGTTTTACTTGACAGAAATGATTCAGGCTATTCTAAAGGAACCAATCCAAATGTAACACTGAAACCACTGAATACTGAAGTGTAATATTTTGTCTGTATTTTGTAAAGAACATACTGCCGATTCAGCCAACGCAGTTGATAATATAAATACTGAAACTGAATTTGGTGATGAAGATGTGTAATTTTATATTTTAATTTAAATGAAATATTTTCGGTTTTGTAGTACCTTAATTTCATTTCGTTTGTCATTGCTAAACCTGAAAGAATACTCACTAAAGTTTGCAGTTTACTAACAAATAAGAAAAGTCCAACCTCCAACCCTGATCGGTAGGCACTAAAGACAACATAGTCCGGTCATGAATCTTGTTAGTTATCTATCTTCCGTTTCATCATAACGAGAGCATTATCAACCATAAAATTTTATGAGCTATAAGTCAAACAAACAAAATATAAATAAAACCCAAGTCATGACAGTGTCAAAGGAGAAATAAAGATTCAAGAATTTACAACCATCTGTTTGTAATTGTATCAAAATTGGAATTGTTTTGCGTTTTACTTGTGTACCCACCTATATGTAAACATGTAAAGAATGAAACGCTCCAGGGTTTCAAAACCTTTAAGGTATTCACTTCTGGTGTTGACAAATTCCCTAATTCTTTATTGCTACCTATTCAGTTTAATATTAAAATAATTAATTTATGGAAAAAGGCATCCATTACACTATGCTATATAATTTTGCAAAAGCTTTGAGTCCATAATATGTATACAAGAGAATCTATTCCACCATAAAAAGCTTTATAACATCTTTTCAGGACAGCTTTGTTGAGAAAAAACCTACAGTTACTAATTTTGCTACTGTTAGCCAATTTGTTTCTAAAGCAATTGATCATAAATATTAAGTACTTAGATGTTATGTGTCGTGATCAAACTCCATCGTTTTGGCTTTACTCAACCCTACCTTGTGAAATACCTATCGGGAAGAAAGTTATTTGTTAAACATTGCAATTTCATATCCAAATCTAGTTCACCCGGGTCAGGTGTACCCCAAGGTTTAGGACCATTATTGTTTATCATTTTTACCAACGACTTGGTTGATGCAATATCCAGCAACAAGCTACTCTTTGCTGATAACCTAGAGTTTTTTCTTGAAATAAAACTACCAAGAGAATGAACTGTTGCAAGAGGACATCAATCTATTAATTTCGTGGGGAATAAATAATCTATTACCTATGTTTAAACAACTCATTATTAATCATAATTATTCTATTGAAGGTCACTCTTTAAGTCGTTTAGTAATCTCAAGAGATTTGGATGTCATTTTCGATCAATCCTTTCATTTCATAAACCATATTTCTGAATGTATCTCCAAAGTATATAGAACGTACGGGATCATCTATCTAAATTGCCAAGAATTTTCCAATGTGTGTAATGCAGAAAGGCGGGTAGATTTTTTGGAAAGCCAGACACTTTCTTTTTAGACGAATTATCGTTTTTCTAATCTGAAATGCAAACGTTAGGTTTTGGTTTTACTTTCTGATGGTTCTCACCAAATTTAATACAATGTAAGTGTTCATATACTTAAACCACGTGTCAGGAAAAAGAACTTATTAAGGCTTCACCCTTTCGATTATTACCACGATATTTCAAAAGTTCTGGATGCTTTTACTCCGGCGATCGAGGTCTTTCTCGAATACCCATTGCAACTTCCGCTACCAGGCTTTTGGAACGTCGCCTGCCCACGTCACCAACGATGAGTCAGCCTTCATTTCCGTACATCCTAGAAAGCTCTCGACGGTTCATAGGCGTCGTACCAGGGTGGCGTATGGGTTTAATTTGTAATATTATTATTTTATCCACACTTCATAACTTCCAACCGAGATTAAGGATTGTTCACTTATGCCATTTAAACTGATCTTAACCGTTGATCCATTTTGAGAGAAAGTACCTTAAGCAGTTTAATCAGTAAAATAAATAACATCGTGGACTGAGGATGGGGGATTAAATTGTGCTTGTTTTTACTTTCCGAGCGTAAGCAAAGGAAGTATAGTAATCGGGTCCATCGGACGAATGGCCACTTTTATTTTTTCTCGACGTTTCATGAACCCTACAGTACGAACAAAGTAGTATCCCGTTTCCGCCTGTCTGTCTGTCTGGGGTCTGTATCTATTTTTATTAGACACGTAATCTCCGAAACTGCTGGACCGATTGTTGTCAAATTTTGTATGTATATGTATATTAGAAATGCCATGTAGATGGTTAAATATTAACCAAAATTTTGCTAATCATCCCCAGCAAGAATTTAATTACGCCATTTCAAAGAACTCTATGTTTATTTAATTTAATTGTTATACAACAATATACGTGTGGTGTACAACTCCGGTTTTCGTAAAAATATACACCGTGCGGAATTCGGACCGGAGGTCACGGGTTCGATGCCAAACTTGATTTTTCGTGTTTTTTTTCTTCTTTTTCTCTCGCATTGTGTATTATCTATGTTTATGACGTCATAACAAACTTTTTTATTGGTCAAATTAAGAACGAGTCAACCCATTTTCTCGAAAATGTGGGAATACGCACGTCTTTATATAATAATGATAAAATAAGAATTATAATATTCAGAACATTATGTTCGATTGTGGTTTAATCAATAATTTATGTCCTCTGTTTTGAGAAGACAAACTCATTTAAACCAAACTAATTTCTACGTGACATTCTTTCGATGTATAAACAAATACTTGAGCTTCAGATTGCTATTACCTAGTACTGAAGAATATTTTGTCTCGTTAGTTAAGTACTTTAAATAAATTTTACTTTGTCCGTACGGCGCAGGGGGTGCGAGGGTGTTATTTATGCCGCTGGTTTTTACTTTGCAACGGTTATCACAAAATGAAAATCGTAAAATCAAATTTTATAATTATTTTTATCGTAATGACTTGTGTAGTACAATCCAGTTGTTT